TAATTACATTTGGGTTTCTTACGAAAATACCGCGCTGCAGCAATCCTCACCCTGCGCTTGTCTCTAAACAAATTGTTAATATTTTAAGTGTCTTTCATGAGCCCGAGTCTAATTAATTAAAGGTTTATGGAAAACAATTAGGTTTTGATAGGGATCACCTTCTCTGGAGTCCCGTGTCTGCACAGAAAAAAGCGGGGGGTTAGAAAGGCTCAGGTTGAAATTTAGAACTGCAGTGAATAAGAGAATACACAAATCCCACATGGATTGGGGAAATTAGGACATTTGGTGCCAGATTGTCTGACTAATTAGATTTCTATCAAGTCCTGAGGGACTGGCTGATGCAGCATTTTAATTTAAAGCTGCAGCAGCAGCAGCAGCAGCAATTTTTTTGCCGTCTTCTCATGTCCTTTACCAAACTGCCCGCGTTTCCAACACGCGACTGTCTCCCTTTCCAGCCCTGCAGCTCTGCCAGGATCAAACCTTCTTGCTCTGAGTTTGGTTTCGGTGGGAACACAACTCCCTGTGCCTGCAAGGGGCTTTTCCCACACCGTGGCATGGCATTCCTGGCCGGACACGTGGGATACGCTGGGATGGGAGAAAGCTGAGGGGCCTGGGAGTTCCCCAGGCTCTTTATCATGGAGAGCATCTTCAAAACCTGGCGTATTGCACAGGAAACCCAGGGAAATCACCCATTGCTTGGAGTGAGTTCATTTTCCATCCTCAGCCTCCTGAAATCAAGATCGATCCTTTAAACGTTGGCTCCCTGCAGGGAGAACGGAGTGGCACCTCTTTCAATTATATCCATTTAAAACACAGTGATGCATTTCTTCTGCATCCGGATACAGGCTGGAAAAAGGAGCAATTTGGTGGCAAAGTGTGGAGTGGGGACGAGCCTGAGGTCCCCATCCCATCCCCAAACCACAATATTCAGGACAGGGATCTAACTTTTAAGCCCCTGAAGTCACAGGGGCTGAACTCGGGTTTAATTTCAGTTCAAGAGGGACAGGGAACTATTAGAAAGAGTCCAGCGAAGGGCAACAAAGATGATTCAAGGATTGGAGCATCTCCCTTATGAGGAGAGACTGAGAGAGCTGGGACTCTTTAGTCTGGAGAAGAGAAGGCTGAGGGGAGACCTTATTAATGCTGACAAGTATCTCAAGGGAGGGTTGAAGGAGGAGGGAGCCAGACTCTTTTCAGTGGTTCCCAGTGAGAGGACGAGGGGCAACGGGCACAAGTTGGAACATAAGAGGCTCCACTCAAATATGAGGAGAAACTTCTTCCCAGTGAGGGTGGCAGAGCCCTGGAACAGGCTGCCCAGGGAGGGTGTGGAGTCCCCTTCCTTGGAGATTTTCAAGACCCGCCTGGATGCTCCTGAGTAACATGCTCTGACAAGCTCTAGGCAATCCTGCTTCAGCAGGGGAGTTGGACTAGATGGTCTCTATGGTCCCTTCCAATTCTAAAATTCAGTGAAATTCAGTGAAATGTGTATGGGGCAATGCACAAATTGATTCAGAACTGCAAAATTGCCCGATCCCGCTTAGGAGGCACCAAAATTTCATGCTAATTGCCCCAAAATTAGTTAGCGCTATTAAAATAGAGGAAGCGGAGTTTTTTGAAGCCGTTTCTTACTTGACAGTATGAGATTGCAAATATTCCTGTGCCCTATTTAATGAAAAATTATTATGCTATTATTGCTATTTTATATGATGGATACGTAATTAACAGGGTCTATAGAATCATTTCTTCTCCCATTTTGTTCCACTTCTTCCAGATTATTTTATCAAAAAAAAAAAAAAAAAAGAAAAGATAATGGAATTATATCTTATGCTTCAATGAAACCGAAAACTATTATTCCTCTCGATAACCAAACCCAGCAAAGTCAACCATTCCAGTGAATATTAAACACAAAAAGTACATTTCAGATGTATTATGAATCCGCTGCTGAGTCTTTAACTCATTGCTTTGAGGAGCTGGGGGGCGGAGGGAGCTGAAATGAAATGAGAGCCTCTAAAGACGCCGAATTTCCCAGCGTTCATTGATTGAAAGCAGGCCCATAACGTTATTGAAATGGTTTCACTTAACCTCATTTCCCCGTTATTACTTTGTTATGCTGTCTTTTTTGGGGGGGGAGAAGGTGTTATAATATTTATTTACTCCTGCCAGGCATCCCTGGATGCTAAAAATTATGGACCCCCCCTGGGTTTCAGCCAGATGCACGGGGCAGAAGGCAACAGGCATCTGGGCAGGACCAACCCTGCTGCTCACAGCCTGGTCATTCCAAGGTACAGTGTGTGTTAAAGAGGGAAAAGGCCAGTATTACTGTAAAAGCATTAAGAGCCCGAGTGATGGATGGGATCCCACTAAACTGGGGCATAAAAAAAGGACATTTCTCACCCCCCCCCAGTGCCCGGAGCTGCTGGGCTTTGAAAGGTGCCACCAGAACCACGGTAAGAGCAAGTGAGTTGGAGCTCCCGGGGAAGTGGAGCTCTCATTTTGGGTTCTGAGAGGGATCTTGGGTCTCTTCAAAAGGTGAGGATCCCTAATTCCCTCACCCAGATTTGTGGGCCTGTAAAGCGCGCCTACAATTTTGTGCTGGTGCTTTTTCACCCCTGAAATGTCAGAACAGATAGAAAATGCAGAGTGACGATTGTAAAACACACTTTCAGGAAGCTGCTTCTTGTGAGAGTTTTTTATTTTTCCCCCACTTGTTCCCCTCCTGTTTCTCTCTCCCCCCAACAGAGAAATAGAACAGATTTCCAACATGTTTGGATTAACTAGAAATTAATTTTCTTTCTTCTCCTTTTCCTTTCACTGAAAGAAAAAACAGAACGGAACAAGCCGCTGTTTTGCATTAATGATACTGTTTCATTTCCCTTTCTTTTGTTTTAAATCCCATTTTATTTTCAAATTAAATTGAGGTACATCCAGAGAATAATTCCTCTCCGTGGAAGGCGGTTGTCAGAGATGCCAAGGAGGGATACACAGTTTGTGTTTGTGGATTGGAGAACTCAGCTGAGGTGTCTACATTTTCAATGGCTGAAGTTCAAGAGAGGAAACCTCCCACGAGAGGTCTGGAATAAGAAAAGAAAAAGTTATTGGTTTGAAAATAGTCAAAATGAGATAATTTTGACTTTTCCTACAAATAATTCCTGCTTGTAACTGTGTATTATACCTGTGAAAAATCGTCTGGGGCTCCGCCAGAAATAAAATAATGCATTTTTAAAAATAAACTAGCTATCTCAAAATGTATTTATTTTGATTTACAATGTGTGTGTTGAAAGATAAAGTGTCCTGAGTGACCGTGATAAATGTCATTGATATCGTTCTGTGGGTAACATCATGATGAACAAGTTGTGGATTGCTGCCCAACACAAACCTAGCCAGAAATTTTTGAAGAAAAAGCCAAAAAGTCTTGGTTTAGCCATTTCCAAAACCAAGTGGGTTTGTTTCTAATTCCAACATTTCCAGGGTTCACCCCTCCTGACTCTGAGCTGGGACGGTTACAGGAGGGGGGTCCTGCTGGCACCAGGGCTGGGGGGTACGTGGGTAAACGTGAAGGGGTTGGGGGCCACGTGTCCCACGGTGAATATGTGACACCTGAGGGGCCTTTTGATGATGTCAGTAGTGAGGACAGCTTTGGAACTCCTTTTTTCAACCATTCTTTAAAGTTTAGAAGTTAATACGATGCTCACAGAAGGCTTCTTCCTCTGGGTAACTGGGTAATTGGGAAAAGGCTATTAAAAATTTGGGGCTGGTTGCCTTTTTCTGCCCAAGCTGGAGGGAAACAGAGGCAGGAGTGGGCAACGGTGGCTCTTTGCTGGCTCTGCTGGTTTTGTGGCAGAGGGTCAGGGGTCCAGAGACTCCTCACCAATTTCAGGGACACTGCATCATTTTAGCATCTCTCTCCCGTTACCCATCCTCTGATAACTTCTTTTATTGGAATCAAGTGCTTCACATTCCATCGGCCTGAGAGATTAACCAAAAAAAAAAAAGGTGGGATTTTAATGTTATTTCCTACCTTTGGTTCGGTCCACAGAGAAGATACAAAAAATGATATTTTCCTGAAAGTAGCAGAACTCTGCCAGGAGAAACCAAGGTTTTGCCTTGGCAGCTTTGAGCCCCTCACAGGGAATACTCATCCCAAAGCATCCTCCTTGCTGCCCCGAGTCCCGGGGTTGGCTCAGCCGGTGTCTGGCACATCCCACTGCTTTCCCCTCGGGGCTGGAGGACTTTTCTGCCCACGGGGCTCCTACTTTTGCAGCCCACACTTGACTAACCCTTCGCTGAAGGCGGTGAGCTGGGTCTGTGCCAAGGATCAAGGCTAAAATCCTTTTCTCTGTCCCCAAGTGTCCTTTACCTGCCTTAAATGACAGGTGACAGTTATGTCCCCATCTCCACTGTGTCCTCACTTCTTCTCTCACCCACAGAGACAACACCACGATGTCTTTCAGCCCAGGAGCCTCAATCACTTAGAAACCCGACCTTGTTTTCTACTAATTATTTATACACTTATCTATAGCAAAGAATAGGTTGAGGCGGTGGGATAGTTTCAAAAGAAAGTTTAAAAAAAAGCTGTAAAATGATGTGTTTGTGGTTTGGACACAAGAGGAACCAGTTACCACATCCCATGTGGATGGAAACCCCATCAGTGGTTTAAGTCCATGGGCCCTTGACCAGCCACCCCAGTCAACACGTCTCACTTGCCTGGGAAGTGAAGGGAAATCTATTTTGTTTGTAATAAAGCTGATTATCATAGATAAATGTATCTAATTAGTCTCATTTGCTGACACACAAGCCTTTAATTGCAAGTTGAATAATTAGACATATCTGCATATGCAAATGAATAGGGTTATACTATGTCACTCTTAACATGATTTCTCTGGAGACAAATAGCTCTCTATATTTCAGGAGAGAATATGATATATTAATTTACGTAGACAAATAACTTTATTTAGAACGAGCCGCTCTCGTGTTTGTTTATATAAAGCAATAAGAGAAGAAATCGAAGGGATTTTATGTGGAAGGAAACAGCTGGAAGATACTAATTTATGAGGGGGAAATCCTCAAGAACCTCAGGGCTTCTCTGTGGTGAGGGGAGGGAGTGGGGAGCGATCCCCCAGCCCGGCCCCCCCCGAGCCACGGCCACTGCTGGAGCCAGTGCTGCTCCCGAGCATCCCACCACCCCCGAGCATCCCACCACCCCTGAGCATCCCACCACCCCCCTGCATCCCACCGCCCCCCTG